CCTTAAATTGTCACTACTCAACAGTTTTTAAGGAATACGTTTTATTATGTTAGTATTTGCCGAGCAATACCTTACAATACAATGCAGCTGACAAACTTAATTTATGTTCTCATGAAAATAGATGTACTTGATTCATGTGTTTATAATATTTCATGTTCCTTTAGCTCGTGCGATTAGTGCAACCGAATTGAATTGAGGCAATTGTGTAGCTTCTGTACCCAATCGTAGTTTGAAATGTTGTTTTCTAGCAGAAACTTGTAGAAGTCGTTGATGGTCTTGTGTGGACAGAGTGCAATTGGACAGATCGATTTTGAGTAATGATTGATTATGTTCTATTATTTCGATAAGAGAATCGACGCTTGAACTTGTTATGAGCTTGTTCCCCCTGAGAGACAATTCTCGAAGACTAGTATTATGGTAGGCAAGTGCATTGGCTAATGATTGCACGCCAACATCACCAATCCGATTGTTATTCAATCCGAGCATAGTCAATCGCTGATTTTTCTTAAGCATTTCAGACAGATATTGGGCACCTTTATTGGTGATTTCATTCATACCGATAAGAAGCTGTTCCAATACTGAATTGTTTTCTGAGAGTAGCTGTGTTAGAGAATGGAGACCCAAGTCCAATATTCGATTCGAATCGAGTCTCAATCCGATCAAAGTCGTGTTATTATGCAACGCATCAGCTAGCATGGCGATTCCTTGTGAACTTATCTTGTTCTTATCTAACCGAAGAATCACACATTGCTTTTTGATTAACGCATGTTGTACTACAAGTGGAATATCTCGATCGTCGAGATCTTCGTTGCTCAAATCTATCGACGAGTGTGCTCGACATGATCTCGTTTTAGTTTCAATTTTCCGTGTATGATCGTTACATGGTTTCATTGACTGCGTTGTCAAGCTGGAAGATGCGATGGTCGTTGAAATATTCGTGAGAAGACTCGAAGACAAAATAACAGGTGAATTAGAAACGCTCTCAAGTCGTAATGAAGGATCTATTGATGGAATTTGTTTCAAATGAATCACGGTCAGACCATTGCCAGAATTAGCAGATGAGACTACTTTGAAGTGAGAACCAGCTGGCAGAAGTATCGGGTCTTCTCGTTGAAAATAAGAATGTCGTCGAATGTCTTTACCCGAATAAGATTCAATGATAAACATAGTACGTGTTTCTGTCTTGCCTAAATATGTGTCCGATTGTAAAACATCAAGAGATGATGTACATAATGTAAAGCCCCACCAAACAAATATTCTATTCGGAGGATATTTTTCGCTCAAATCCATTTTGATGCCATGGTAAACAGTGATAGAAGTCGATGGAAGTCGAGAGAGTGCAGTAAAGAGTAGCTTTAGATAGAAAAGCCACGGTTTCAAATTTCTTCGATCGTCTTCGCGAAGTATTGAATTGAGGACGAAACAAAGGCATTGTTCATAAGGCTGCCAATCCATCGAATAAAGCATTATTGCAGCTGATTCATCTTGCGTCAGTCCATCAGTTGGATTTTCACATCTCTCTTTAGCAATATATACATAAGTGTGTACTTCAGGTAACATCGGAATCAATGGTTCGACAGCCTTCTCCAACGAAACAAGAGCCTTCTGGTCATAATCATCGATGGGCTTGAGAGTTTGAAGTGGCTCTAAAGCAATGTCATAGAAACGACCTGTCAGGTGCTTTACCAAATCGTTCATAGGAATGTCCATTGGTTAACGATCAACTGAATTCAGCAGTGTAAGAACTTGTTTTTCTTTACCATACGCTCTTATCTCATCTGGACGCGCACAATCACAAGTAAGATTCGTCTTTCTTATCAAGAACAACGTCTTTTGTTATCATTTGCTGTCCAAACAACCAAGATGACTGCTCGTGGTAGAATTCTGTAGTAGGTAAAAAGAATCATTGCCACAAATACAAGTAGTTGTTATTTTCTTCTCTTATCGATGAGTAAAATTGAATGCGAAAATGATTGATGAAAAATCGAAGAATGAGCCCGTGCATAATACTAGTAATGTTGAACTTTCGTTCACGCATCGAAATTTAATGATGTTGTCAGAACGTGGAAAAAGTCACTTTTTGGGTGTGAGGTGTGGGAGCGGGTGAGAGTGTTTGTCTTCTTTTCACATACATACCACACCCACACCCTTGCGAAATAAAGAAATGTATAGAACAAATTCATTTTCTATGCACACTTACAGTTTCAGCACTCAATCGAATACTCAAACATCCTATATTCGAAAGTTTGGCATTTTTCAACATATCTCTTGAAAATCCTAAACAAAACATTAGAAAATATGCAGAAAAACGATACAAATGAAATTCACTTCGATGGGACGACAAGTAGAGAGAGTTTATTCAGATACTCACTATGGTCAAATCCTTCGTTGAGATTGTCAAGACGATATCCTACATATAGCCAATGTCTTCAGCGCTTTTCCCTTTCGAAATTTTTTTTCTTTCGTAATCGTTTTCTACATGTCGTCTAACTGTCACATGGTTTTTAATCTGTAATTGGCTTTACGACAGATTTTCAATTCTTCATTCAACTATATGCTTCAATGAATGTGTATTAAATAAACTTTTTAATAACCGAAGAACAAAATCTATAACCAAAGAAGAAAAGTAAAAATACTGGTGAAAGTCGTAGTATGGATGCGGATCTGGATAGAAATGCATTTCCATCGACTCCCACACCGACATCTTGAAGGTGAAATTCATTATTTTTGTCGATCATTATTTATTCGACAGAAAGAGAAAAAGGAACAATGTTAATTAGTCTATTCGATAGGAAAACGTTGTACTCGCCAATTAAGACTATCGGCGATATAAAGATTTCCATGTCGATCGAAGGACAGACCAACGGGGAGATTTAACTGATTTGCTTCTTGTCCCTGACCATTTCCACCTACAATTGTAGTGCCTTGCTTTTCATCTTGAGACCAGCGCATCACTCGATCATTCTCAGAATCTGTCACATAGATGAAACCGAACGCATCGACGAAGAGTCCTCGAGGATGTGAAAGCTGTATTAGAGCATTTCCTTGGCCTTGACCTCCAGCAATGGCAATCCCTTCTGTTGCACCTATAGTCCATTTCATTACGCGATGATTGTTGCTGCCCGACACATAGACAGACTGCTGTTGATCGACAAAAATAAATGTTGGTTCGTTGAGTTGATTGAAACCATCACCTCGTCCATGGCCACCAGCAACAATAGTTCCATTCTTGTTTCCTATTTTATATCGTCTGACTTCATGTTTATTGTCATCAGAAATATAGATATATCTCTGATCGTCTATGGCCAATCCATAACAATCGATGTTCTCAAGAAGAATTTCTCCATGAGTTGTGCCGCTACTGCGAGACCACCGTAAGACGCGCTCATTCCATCTATCACAAATCAAGAGACTATCCGTTCCTTTGTCGATCAGCACATCAGCTGGTCGATCCAATTGATCCAAACGATCTCCTGGGCCATGGTCACCAGCAATTACTTGTCCATTCGTATCACCCATCTTCCATTGGATGATACGATGATTGCCTCTGTCAGCGATGACTATCGTTTGATCATCATCAATGAAGAGACCCCATGGAGAGTTGAACTGATTGGTGGCATTACCGATCTCGTGGCCTCCAGCAACAGTCATACCATTCTGTGCCCATCGTGTATTCAAAGGAAACCTTGGAATGACTATCAATGAGCGAACAAATGAAATGAAAATTATACGTCATGATAGTTGTCACAAGATCGTTCAGCATGCTGCTCCTATGAATTTCTGAAAATTTCTCAGGAGAGACAATGTAAGAGCATGCCAAAAATCAACAACGGTCCTAGCTTGAAAATCTATCTGACATATATACATTAGAATTAGATTAGGATTAGAGCAGTGTAATTACGATTGTGATAGCGAGAAACGATTGATAGAAAAGTTAATGATAGAGCATTGTAAGCTTTTGAAAAAGTTTAAGAAAAGACACTGAATGTTTCTGAGATTGAAGAATGCAAAAGTGATGATTGCAGATTCCGACTTCGGGAAAGACTTTTTTTCTAGTGAAACCAATTTGCATAGTCTGTGATGCACAGCGTGTTTATCATGAGCTATCATCTAAACTTTACTCTCAAAGTCAATAGTGTTCTATGAAAATTTCAGATCAGTAAAAAGTTAGAAAAGATTTTGTTCACTTAAGAAATGTCTAGTGAATTTCTCATCGATATGAGAACGCCTCAGATAATATCTGACTATGTATACTTGCCTCGTAACAATTCCAAATGCTTTCCATAGAGAATGAAGAGCTTGACATCGTCACACCAGTAGTTTGTCTTATTGTTGTGATTGACGAGTGCGCTAAACTCAATGAACAC